GCCGGCCGGAGGGGCGGAGGCGGTGGCGCGCACAGGGCCGCACCCCCGCGCCGTTTCTGACGCGAGGGCCGCCGCCGCCCACAGGCCCTCCCTGGTCGTCGCAGCCTTCCCCCGTACCCTGGCCTCGGGCACGCCCTGCGCCCCTCGGCGCCGCGCGCTGCCGGTAGCTCCGGGGCGTGGTTACCGCCTAGGCGCTCGGGGAACGTCCTGAGGGGAAATACCGCGAGACCACGGCGGGCGCGTCGGAAGCGCGAGAGCGGAATTGGCCTCCGGGTTTTGCGCACGCGCAGAAGCCGGTCCGCTGCTTTCCAGCTGGACGAGGAGGTTCTGGGGTGACGCCGGATGTGGTGCTGCGCAGGGAGTCGGGGTTCCGAACTGCCGATCCTTGAGCGAGAGTCGAGGCTCGCGGCGCTGGGCCTGGCTGGGTCGTGGCGGCTGCGCTGGAGGTGAGAAGGAAGAAAGGCGGCCCCTGGTGGGAGTGGGCCGGCGTCCATTAAAGCGAGACGTTCCGCGGTTCATCGCGGGGAGACACGGTCTGGCTCTCGGGGACAGATGGAGGTCTGCTGGGAGGCCGGGGCGGCCAGGCTGGGGCTAGGCCAGCGTCCTTCGAGGGTCGGCAGCTCTTTGAAGTCCGACATGGAACCCCGGAGGGTGGGAGGCGGCCAGTCAGGAATCCCCTGGGGACGGGTTGGATTTATCTTTTTGTTGTATGGTTTATTTCTGTTCGTCACTGTACATTTCTGTAGCGTCCAGTGTGGTTTTTCAGAGCGTGCGTGCGGTGCGTGTCAGTCAAGTCAAAGATGATCTTATGCGTTGTCCTCAGTAGGTAACTTTTCATCCGTGTGTGTGTGAATTTTTTTTTGTCCTGAGCTCATCCCACCCACCCCTTCTAGTCGTCACCTTCACAGTCTCTGCTATGTACAGTGGTTAGCCCTGCTAATTTTGGTACCGGGAACTGCCTATCCTTAAAGGCCCGTTGTACATAACAAATGCTTGTATAAACAAAGAAGATTACAAGAGATACAATAGATAGTCATTTAAAGTTAGTGGTTTCGTGACAGATTTGCAGTGCCTTCAGGAGGGCATCAAGCCTTATAAATCCCTTTTTAAAAAATAGAATATTTTCGATAGACAAAATGTAGAAACAAAACTAATATGTGTGTAGTCACTACCCAGCTGGAGAAATAAATGACTGAGTGAAGCCCTTCCTTTGTCAGCTCCATGTCATCTCATTTTGTTCCCTCTGGCCCAAAGGAACCACTCTCCCAAGCACCTTTTTGTTTTAGTTATATATATAGTGTGTATTTCATAATTTTAACAGTAATGTATATATATATTTTTACATCTAGCTTGTTTACATAATGTTATTAAGATTTGTCAATATTAGGTAACTAGTTGATTCATCACAAAGTGGAACAAATACTGTTATATTACCGTATCACTAACCATTTTCTGGCTTTGTATTCCCAGTGCCTGACACTTAAGTGTCAGGTGAATGGATGAGTGAGTGCTATAGCATTTGAGCTAAATCATAAGGAATAGAACAGTTTTTCAAATGACTAAGCAAGCAAGAGCATTCCAAGCAAAAGGAATAGTAGGTGGTATGAATGCAGAGGCATGAGTGTATATTAAATATTTTTAAAATTTCCATAGTTTTAGGGCTGAAAATATAGAATGCATGGAAATAATGTGAAGGAGAAGCCTACAAAGGTGAGATTAGGCTTCAGTTTATTTATTATTTAATAATTATTTTACTTATTTATTTTTTATTATTTTTTAAATTTTCTATAGTGCAGGTGTGCTCACCAGAGAGAGAAACTGAGAAAACAAGCCAGAACAACAACCATGGTTGGCCATGTGGGAGTCCAGCACCTTAACCACCATGCCACCTGCTGGCCCCTGGGCTTCAGTTTAAAAGATGTTATCCTGAGGAGGTTACACTAGCTCATTAGAGGCTTTTGAATTTTGACAACGTTGATCAGAGTTGTATCTTTAGATGATATTCATAATATCCTGATATATCTTCAATTGTAAAGACCGTTGATAGGGAATTAAAGACAACCTATCAAGCATTTTAACAGGTAATAACAGTACCTATTGCATTAGGTGTGTAAAAAAAATTACACATGCTCACTTAAAATTTTACAGTGTTTGGGCCAGCAAGTGTTGGGGAGGTTAAGGCACTGTATTCATTCCTCCATGGTTGACCACTGTTTAAGTCCTGGACCCAGCTACTTGAACATTGCATTAGGTGCGTGTGTGTGTGTATGTGCCCAAAATTCCAAGAAGAAAATGGAAGAGAAGGGATTGCCGGCTGGCCATCCCCCATGAGCAGTGTTTTTTAACTTTCCCTTTCTCTGTCTCTGCTGGCCATGCCCCAGGAGTAGTGTTTTTTAACTTTCCCTTTCTCTGTCTCTGGTGAGCATACATGCCCAGTAGCAAAAACCTAAAAACAAAAAGTTTTAAATGTTTCCCAGTTCATATTATTACATCTCTTGACAATTATCTCATACTTTCTTCTGGAACATTTTCTATTTCTGCTTCCCACTTAGCTAATACCTTGTATCTTACTTAAGTTAATAAAAGACTTCCCCTATGCTTTCATCATTACATCTAGCAGGTGTGTACCCTAATATGCTGCCTATACTGTTACTGTAGGCTGATGATCTAATTTAATTAAGGGAAAGAACCTTTTTAAGAAACAATGTATAGAATCTTTTACTTAGATTTTTTTTTTTTTTCCACCACAGGATATGTGTTCTCACCAGAGCAAACAGAAAGAGAGAGAGAAGGAAAGTGATAAATCATCCCCTGTAGTCCCTTTTCCTTCACTCTCCTCTTGGGATTTCGGGCATACATGCACATGTGCCCAGTGTGTTGTTTTTTTAAAATTAATTTTATTATCATTTTTTAATTTGACTAGAGAGAGACAGAGAGAGAGGGGAAGTGAGAAAGCAAGCCTCCAGGCCCAAGTTTTGAACCTTGGTTGGCCATGTGGGATCTAGCTCCTTAATGACCATACCACTTGCTACCCTAGAATACTTTTTTGTTGTTGTTTAGATTTTTGCAATAGGGTGTGTGTACGCTGGCGGGAAACTGAAAGGGGGAAAATGAGAAATCCCTTCCCAGAGAAGATGGTCACACCTCAGTTCCTCCTTTTCCATTCTCCTCTTGGGATTTTTGGCATGCCAGCACATGTGCCTGTGTAATTTTCAAGCCAGGGCTCCAACCGTGTGGGAGTTCAGCACCTTAACCACCACATCACTTCCCGCTCCCCCCCCAGAATCCTTTTTTAATACAATAATAACTAAAGTATAAATTCCTAAGGCGGATTGTGTTGATATCTGAATAATAAAAGTACAAAAGAACGAAGTGGTTAAAAGATCATTATTTTTGTCCAACAGTTTAATGACCCATACATGTAGTAATAATATGATACTGATCTTTTTATGAGCTGCTTATTTTCAAGTAGATTTAGATGTTAAGCTTTATAAGCTAAATCTGGTTTACATATATATCGTTTTTGAGTTTTTGTTTTGTTTTGTGCTATAGGGCACATATACTCATTAGAGAAAAACAGAGGCAGAAAGCAAGAAATTACCCATGAGAGGGGCGGAGGGGTTGCCATGCTGCAATCTCTTCTCCATTCTCCTCTCTGGATTTGGGGTACACAGGTACAGGAGCCCGCAGTGAGTTTCAAGCCACCAAGTCCAGGACTCAGACTCCAGTTAGTCATGTGGGAGTCCAGCACCTTAACCACTCAGCCACCTTCTGGTCCCTAACATACATGTGGGTTTTTTTTTTTTTGGGAGAGGTTTTTTGCGATAGGGTGCATGCGCTCACCAGACAGAGAGAGACAGAGAGAAAGAAAGTGAGAAATCACCCCCCAGGGGGATGGTCACGCCGCAGTTCCTTCTCCTCCATTCTCCTCTCGTGATCTTGAGCACTCACATACATGCACCCGGTGTGAGTTTTAAGCCACTGGGTCTGGGACGCGAACCGCAGTCGACTACATGGGAGTCCAGCAACATAGCTATTAAGCTAATGCTTCTTAACATAATAAGCATTTTCTTCTAAAATACAGTGTCATTGATAATCCTCTTTAAAAGAATACGTTTAACTAGCTTTTGTCTTAACGTATTACCAGCTTGTCCAGTTAGAGTTTGTATCTAGTCCATTATTGCATTGCCTAGAGGAATACCTGAAAAATGAGTAAATTTAGAAGAATACAGGTTTGTTTGACTCATGATTCTGGCCTGTTGGAAGTATCAAATGCATCACAAAATAGAAGAAAGTCAGATATTGAGTGGAGTGGTTGTCCATTAAATTTCTGCCTCTTCGGCATCACAAAATAGTAGAAAGTCGGATATTGAGCGGAGTGGTTGTCCATTAAATTTCTGCCTCTTCTGAACTCCTACCCCTCTTGTAAACCCACCAGACCTCAGTTGTAGGGGCCCCATCCTAATGATCTTATCACACCTCCAGGAGGCTTCATCCTGGGCCCCCATGAAGGGATTAAGTTTTCACTTACCAGCTTTATAACACAACCAAATCTCAGCACATGAATTTCAGGGACATCCAAATTATAGCAATTTGTTAACATTTTTCACTGATTATGGTGAAAATAGAATTACATTTTACAGCTTACTACAGGCATCATTAATTTTCTCATTCTTTTAAATGCATTTATTGTGTACTTACCCTATGATAAACATTATTCTACAAAAAGTACATAAGAAGATTAGTGAAAAATCATTCATCTGAAATCATGTTACATAACCAAGTTAATGTACCTTGGCATATGACAAACTTTCAACTATAAGTATTTTGTCATTTCATTGTTAACTCTCTCGTAAAGGATGGCTAACTAGATGCACAGCTGAGTAAAGGGCATTATTACTCTGAAATGTGATCATATATCCACAGTGGTCAAACTTTGCACATACATCGTAAACATCAGTGTACACTAAACGTTATTGAAGTTTGGGTCAGAAAGGACTTCTAGGGACCAGCAGTTAGCGTAATGGCTATGTCGCTAGACTCCCACGTAGTCGACTGCGGTTCGAGTCCCAGACCTGGCGGCTTAAACTCACGCTGGGCGCATGTGCATGCGTGCCCAAGATCCTGAGAGGAGAAGGGATTGCGGTGTGGCTGGCTCCCCCAGGGGTGATTTCTTGCTTTCTGTCTTTCTGGCGAGCACACATGCCCTATAGCAAAAACCTCTCCAAAAAAAAAGAAGGGACTTATAGCAGAACACACAGATTATAGAATCACACTTATACTTTACTTTGTTCTGTTATATATATACTCAGATTTACATAAAGTTCTTTTTGTTGTTGTTTAAGGATTATTTAGGGATTAGCAATTAGCATAATGGCTATGTCACTGGACTCCCATGTAGTCGACCATGGTTCGAGTCCCAGACCTGGTGACTTAAACTCATGCT